ATCCTATACCCTCCAGCCTCACAGGAGCTGGCCCATACCAGAACCATCCAGCTGACCCACAATGTCATAACAATAATTTAATGTTTATTGTCTTATGTCACTAAGTTTTGGTGTTGTTGCTAATGCAGCAAAAGCCAGCTAATATACAATTCTTTAAAAGTGATTTATATAATACCAACATAAAAATGGGAAATGAGGCCGGGTGCGGTGGCTCACGCCTGTAATCCCAGCACTTTGGGAGGCTGAGGCAGGTGGATCACTTTGGGTCAGGAGTTCGAGACAAGCCTAGCCAACATGGGGAAACCCTGTCTCTACTAAAAATACAAAACTTAGCTGGGCATGGTGGCGCATGCCTGTAATCCCAGCTACTCGGGAGACTGTGGTGGGAGGATCGATTGAGCACACAGGAGGTCGAGGTTGCAGTGAACCATGATTGCACCACTGCGCTCTAGCCTGGGTGACAGAATGACACCCTGTCTCAAAACCAAACAAGCAAAAAAACCTGACTCAGCAATTTCACTCCTAGGCATCTACCCAAGAGAATAAAAACATGTCCACAAAAGACTTGCATGCAAATATTCATTATCCGTACATACTGAATTACAGCATTATTCATAACAACCAGAATTTAGAAATCATCCCAATGTCTATTGGGGTGAACAGATAAACAAAATGTTATATAGCCATAAAATGGAGTACTATCAGCAGTAAAAGGAACAAAATACTGACACAGCACCACATGGATGAGCCCCAAAAACATGCGAACCGAAGGAAGTCAGATACAAAAGACTGTATGACTCCATTTACAGAAAATGTCCAGAAAAGGCAAATCTATGGAAACAGAAAGGTCAGTGGTTGCCTGGGGCTATAAGTTAGAAAGTGGGGAGTCACCATGAGTGGGCTTGAGGAAAATTTTGGAGGTGATGGAAAAGTTCTAAAACGGGATTGTGATGATGTTGGGACAGCTCTAGAAATTGACTAAAAAATCATTGAATTGACACAATGGGTGAATTTTACAGTATGCAAATTAAGCCTCAATAAAGCTATACATATGTGTCCAGAAGTTTTTGATTTCTGATTCAATCTTCTTACTCATTGTTGGTCTGTTCAGATTTTCTATTGCTTTGTGGCCAGATGGCTTCACTAGTGAATTCTGCCAAACATTAAAAAAGAATAACATAAATCCTTCTTAAACTCTTTCAGGCCGGGCGCGGTGGCTCAAGCCTGTAATCCCAGCACTTTGGGAGGTCGAGGCGGGTGGATCACGAGGTCAAGAGATCGAGACCATCCTGGTCA